TTGCTGGTCATCCTGTTGAATTAGGTGCTAAAAGTGTGGCTGAGTTCTCTTTCAATTCTGGAATAAACTCTCGTTTTTATGTTGCTCCTTTCTCTCGTTTTAGTCGATGTAACAAGTGTCTAGCAGCTCTCTTCTCTTGGCTACCATGGCGATTCAGGTCACCCGGAGTGATGACAGATTTGGATTTCATGTTGCTCAAACTATATCGTACTAATGCTGGACTAGGATCAGTCTTTAAAGAGATACAGGTTGAGCTTGAACTAAAGAGACTAAAAGAGAGGGAACAAGAGACACTGACACTGCATAGAAATAAAATTGGTGAGACAATAATTAGATTTGTGTGTTGTGTGCATACTTTGCAATTACATTACTACTGTTCTCATTACTTATTATAGTAATCGTATACTAGAACTAGAAGTAATTTTGTATTATTAGATAATGTGAATGACAAAGAGGGTGAACTGTTTTGGACATTCTCTATCAAAGACAACAAGACCCCATACCAATCATTTAAAACAATTGACAGATCAACTAGCATTGAGGTATAAGAATCATTATTTATTTATTATCATTATTACTTATACACTATATATATGTATAAAGGTGCCAGGCTCAGTGAGAGGTGCAATATTAGGACTCTCTGCATATTCTCCTACTAATAAAGGAGCTTTGTGTATCAGTTTTGGCAGTGAATCTGGTATTGGGGAAGCATTGTCACACGTCTTTGATCGAGTAAGTGTTAAACAAATTGCACATATTCATTGCTTTGCTCTGATTAATATGGGTACTAACTAATGTAGTTGCCCTTGCTATGGACAGACAATGAGATGAGAAAGATAATAGTATTAAATTTAAGTTCAAGTTTGATTCATACAATAATAATGTCTAGACATCACACAAATGAGATAATGTAGAATTCTCTCTTAGGAATTATTTATAAGCATGTACAGGTTTTTGTGAAATTTTAGAGAAATTTTTTTATCAAAATCAGCTGTGACTTAGACCTTTATGCTATGTAGAAAGTTTGAGCTAATTCCAACAAAAATTTTCAAGTTGTTAATACAGACTAATTGTTGAAAATACCCAAGGCTATAATATAGCCCATGGTTTTTCCAAAAAAATGGCTCTAAAATCACCCCAAATTTTTATTAGATTTTGTGATGCATATTGATTTCCTTATGCTATGTAGAAAGTTTGAGCTGATTTTGGCAAAAATTAATATTTGAGTTATAGCATTTTTTAAAAATGGGCCAATTAAAAAAAAAATACCCAAGACTATAGCCCATGGTTTTCCAAAAAATGGCTCTAAAATCACCACAAGTTTTATTACATTTTTTGATGCATATTGATGTCCTTATGCTATGTAGAAAGTTTGAGCTGATTCTGGCAAAAAATTTTTGAGTTATAACAATTTTTAAAAATGGGCCAATAATGGCTCGGAAATCACCCCAAATTTTTATTGCATTTTCTGACGCGTATTGATTTCCTTATGCTATGTAGAAAGTTTGAGCTGATTCTGGCAAAGTATTTTCAAGTTATGACAATTTTTAAATAGGTCAATTTTCTAAAAATACCCAGGGCTATAGCCCATGGTTTTTCCAAAAAGTGGCTCTAAAATCACCCCAAATTTTTATTACATTTTTTGATGCATATTGATGTCCTTATGCTATGTAGAAAGTTTGAGCTGATTCTGGCAAAGTATTTTTGAGTTATGACATTTTTTTAAATGGGCCGATACCCAAGGCTATAGCCCATGGTTTTTTCCTTAAAATGTTCCAAAATCACCTCAAATTTTTATTACATTTTCTGATATGCATTCATGTCCTTATGCTACATGCATTAAAAAGTTTCAGCTGATTTTAGCAAGTCATATGCTATAGCATTTTGTCCAGATTTTGAGTTGCTTTAAAAATTTGTAAAAAATCCAATTTTGATCGGAATCAACTCAAACTTTCTATGCAGCACAAAGACATGTATATGTATCAGGAAAAATATAGAATTTTTCTCCTTACAATTTTGATGAAACTTGTAATGTATAAATATAGACTGTTTTGTCAAATTTTGCAGCAATTTTATAAATCTACTAATAAGCTGTTAAGCACTATGTCAAAACCTGTGAAAAACCCGTAAAAAATGAAGAATTTTTTCCTTGTCATTTTGATGAAATTTGGCCAAAGATCCTACATATACTTGTAACATTATTATTGCCTAGATTTTTGAGCAACTTTAAAAATTCTTTAAAATAATTTTATGTAATAGCAATATTTGATGCCATTATTATAATCATTATTATTATTATTATTATTATTATTATTATTATTATTATTATTATTATTATTATTTAGGTTGGTTTTGTAAAATTTACGCGTTACAATAAAAAATTAGATGAAGATGTATCAGGAGCTGACAAAACACAAAAGATCATTGATTTGCAAATTTATGTTTCTGCATATGTAAGCGTGACTCTACCATCAAACATTCTGTCATTGAGCATCAACCATAATATTGAGGTAAATATTGTCAACACTTCATGCTAATTTTTTATGTATTATTATTACTTTTTATCTGTAGCTC